AGGCTGTACAGGCCAGTGTACAGAGATCTCTGACAACATCGAGTCGTCGACGTTCTTCTCAGCTGGCCATCCCTCGCATGACACTCCGACGCATAATTCGTGATGAATTGAGGTTATTCCCGTACAAAATTCAATTAACTAATCAACTCTCTCCAATCGATAAGCCACGTCGCTTGAAATATGCGAATTTTGTCGTGAATTTGGCTCATACCGACGATGATTTTTGGAGAAAAATCATCATGAGCGATGAGGCTCATTTTTCGTTGAATGGAACTATAAACAAACAAAATTGTCGGTTCTACGCCACCGAAAACCCTGAAATCATCCATGAGGAACCTCTCCACAATCAACGTGTGACTGTTTGGGCTGGGATTTGTGCGGAAAGCATTATTGGGCCGTTCTTTTTCGAAGATGACGTTGGAAGGCCTCTCACTGTCAACGGAGACCGATCGGGCCACCATAATGGATTTTTTTATGCCATTTCTGGCTGATAATGATATGGAAAACTTTTGGTTTCAACAAGATGGCGCTACAGCTTACACAGATCGAGCCACGATCTCTTTATTGCGGCCTTTGTTCCCTCAATGCCTTATTTCGAAAAATGGTGATTTTGACTGGCCTCCGCGATCGCCTGATTTGACGTCTCCCGACTTCTTCCTGTGGGGTTTTTTGAAGTCCAAAGTTTATGTCAACAAGCCATGAATCCTAGAAGTTTTGAAAGACAATATCCGACGGGAAATGATTGCTATAGAGCCCGAAATACTTCAGAAAGTGATGGAAAATGTCGAAAAACGAGCACATTACGCCATCCGCTCGGGCGGTGGCCATTTACGCAATATCATATTCAAAAAGTGATCAGAATAAATTTGCAAAGTTCAAAATAAACGAAAAATCACTTCAAAACAAATTATTTGTTTTTTTTCAAGTTATTCCCAAAAAAACATCCCGAAGGTTTAAATGGCCAACTCTGTATATAAGAAACTAAAAAAATTTTTCTTTCTCATACTCAAAATGGCGGTACACTGACACTGGCCTATACTTGCAAAATCCCTTTTTTTCTATCGGTGATAGATACAGAATTCCAGTTACACGGTTTGACCTTAAACAAAATACAAAGAATTTTAATTATCTACATATTAAAAACTAATGAAGTATGTAGAGGTTTTTCAAAATATTGATTTTTTTCAAAAATGGCAGCTATTTTAAAAAAGACTTGTACTGGCGAAAAATATATATTTTTCGTAAAATAGTTGCCATTTTGAGAAAAATCAATATTTTAAAAAACCTCTGCATACTTCATTAGTCTTTAATATGTAGATAATGAAAATTCTCTGTATTTTGTTCAATATCAAATATGCCTGGAATCTTGTATACCGATTTGAAGATACAGAAAAAAGGATTCCGCAAATAAGTCAGTGCGCCGTCATTTTGAATATTAAAAAAATAAAAATATTTTTTTTGCTCTCATATATATATATGTACAATAATGTCCTCTAAATAGATTTTTAATAAAGTTATCTATTTATTCACAAAAAATCCCAAACTTAGGTATATATTTTGAGGCCTCGAAGGTGGCCTAACCTTTTAATCGATTGTTACACAATATTTATCTACATGTCGCCTGAAAAAGACGTTCTTTTTAAAAATTTTCTGGTTATTGCGATAAATATATTGCCACATGTCGGTAGTTGAATAGCAAGACGCTCGTCCGGAAAGTTGAGAAGTCCAGATTTAAATCCGGGCTGAGATGATATTTTCCACAATAGATTATTTTAGAGAAATTAAATAGATGCTCATTAGCATCAAAATTATTAAATTTCTTATCACTTTAACAAGTAATATTACGTACTCCGGATTCAGTTTAGAACTGCGTTTCAAGACCGACAATATTCGGCGCGCAGTTTGCATAAATTGAAATTGGTAAAATTCACGAATAAATATTATTAAACACCAAGATCTGCTTTGACCGTAATTGACATTCTTATATTACTATTAATTGTCATCACACAAAATTTCAGCTTTGGTACTTTGACGTTAGAGCATTAT